AGCCGGCGATTTGGTAATTTAAACATTGTATTCATAACTACTAGTTCTTCTATTTGGCACATCTGAATTAGTCTTTCACAACGCTCATTTCTCTCTCCCAATCCATACATTCCAACACAACTATCCACACTAATCCACTCTGCCCACTTTGGCATTAAAGTCACCCATTAGTATCAGAACTTCACGTTTTTTTGTTGTTTTCATTATTGTTTCTAATTGCTCGTAGAAGTCTTCTATTTCTTGTTCCTGCTTGTCAGCTGTTGGTGCATATACTTGAATAACATTCATTTTCCCTATATTGGTGTCAATTTGTAGCATTATAATGCGATTCAAAAGCGGGGTGAAACCAAGTACGGATTTATCTATTTCCTTGCTTACCATTATGGCCACACCATATCGGTTTATTCTATCAGAATATCCACTATAATATATAGCTCCGTTTCTAGTCCGTTGTTTTCCAGACCCTGGCCATTGTACATCGCTTATTCCTAGAATTTCGATATTTAATCTTTCCATTTCTATCGCAGTATTATCTACTTTACCTGATTGTAGTAAGCTTTGCACGTTCCATGTTGCAATTCTCATATTTCCTCTTGTGGCAATTTTTAAAAGTGTTCTATTATTTACATCACAGGGATTTCGATGGCTTACGACCTGGGAAGCCCTGTGGCTAACTAGTGATTTACTTCCCCTGCCGGATCTTGGTTTCCGCGGCTCATGATCAGTAAGGTTACTCATTTGGTTATTGCTAGCCATGATGATTGTACTAGGGATGCTCTTGTGAGCCTTTACTACAGTGGTTTCCCGTGGCCTTCTGTAGCCTTATGTCGTTGACCATCTTCCTGGTTCATCCGCCTTTGAGACCGATTTCTCAATCTCAGGACAAAAGAGTGCCCTTCCACCAACCAGCTCGTCCGCCCGAAGCCGTTGACCAGAAGGTGGGGATTGCTTATACCGGCAATCGCTCGGTGGTTTTTCGCCATATCTGGCTACCCTCACTTAGTTTAGCCTGCAGACCAATGCAGTTGCCGGGGTGTGGCACGTGGAGCCATAAGTGAGAGTTAGGTGTCTTATGAGGACCAGTTATCAAGAACCATCTCCCGTCTATGACGCTCGATGTGGTCGTTCCGATAAAAGGTACTACCTCTATAACACAACCCTACACCCCGCAAACTAATTACACAAATCATTATAAATGAAGTAAACCATTTTTCAGTAGACATTTTGGAGGGGGAGGCAGTATCATTAAAAATTACATTTTTTAATCAGACCTTATAGAGACCTGAAATATAGCAATAAATATAAAACGCGTTTTTAAATTGCAAAAATCAAATTTTTAATAAACAAACAGAATAAACTCGTATAAATTTTCAAATTAATTCTAATGCCAATTTTACTTTCAACATTCGATTTTTTTAATTCAAGACAAAAATTAAAAACTTCTATGGGAACGACTTTTTTGAGGAATCTAAAAAAACTAATTTAGTATTTTTGACAATTTAATCAATGGTTAATCAATAATTACTTCGAAACTGAAAAAAATCATTTTTTCTCGCCTAAACTTTGATATGGAAAAGGTCCTAATTTTAAATTGAATACAAAGTATTTTAAGTGTATTAAAATTTCTTTTAACTGGGTTATAATAGGTCGTCAAAAAGTTGTATCATTTTCTTTATAATCTGTTTTTAATCACATAATTTAGCTTAATACTTTCTAAAACGTTTTAAAATCATAAAAATATCAGGTCGAGTTAATTGTGTTGCATAAATTTTGCTTTTTACTCATTTAAAAATATTTAAGTCAAACACATGATAATATTTGATTTAAAGGATTTTTAATAATATATGGTTTCTAATCTATAGCATTTCTTCGATAACAGTTGTTAATTCTTTTAGTGGTTAACTAAAACTCAATGACCTTTCGAAAAGTATTTAATTACTAATCAGCAGCCAAAATTTAATATAGTGCTATTGTTTCTGCAAGTACCTGGAATTTAAAATCGTAGGACGCTTTAAGCTTTGCTTCTGAGAGAACGGTTCATTCTACAAAAAAAGTGCTAATAAACATTTTTGTGTAGTGCCAAACTTTTTTGTGCCAAAATTGACATTCTCAGCGAAATTCAGCTTCTTCGTTTAGTTTTTAGAGATCAAATCTCTGACAACTAAACAATTTCTATTTAAACAAAGTAGGGGAAGGTAAGATAAAATGGGAAACTTAACGGTTAAGGCTGTATAACACCGAAACTATGTATTGGAGGCTACTCATAGTTTGGCACAGTGAAAACTTATTATTTTTGTATTAAAGGCACAAAAAAATTTTTTTTTATAAATGCATAAAAAAGTTATATGCAAAAATTTGACACCAATGTGTGGGTAAAACGGGATACATCGTGGGGGTAAACTTAAACTCAAAAATTCAAAAGGAACGAAAAAAAAAACAATTAACTAAACAAGAAATAACGATGGGTTGAACCCAAAAAGCCCAATATTAATAGGAACAATAATACAAAACATTTCTCTTAAATATTAATAGGAATAATAATACCAAACCATTTTGCCTAAATATTAATAGGAATAATAATGCCGAACATTTTTCTTAACTTAATCGTAATCTGCAATATTCGCACATAAATACATCAAAATCGCTGTCAGCTCCTGCACAAGCCTCATGTCCCCATTTTTTACAATTGCAGCATTGTATCCAACCTTCTTCTTTTTTGGCTGAAAAATATCTATTGTTGCAATAGAAGCATTCCTCATCTGCACTACTTTCACTTCAGGTTGTATGTTTTTAACCTTCTTGGAACTATTTTCTTTTTTTACGGTTTTCTGCTTTAGTGACTTAATCTTGGTCTTTAAGTTAACATTTTTAACATTAACTTTTGGTGTTATGGTAGCTAGAGATGTCTCCAATTCTTCTTTATAAGGGATGCTTGTTAATACGACAGTTTTTTATTTTTACTTTGTTGCTTAATTTGTTTTTGCGGTGCTTTTGAATAGGGAACAACTTGATCCGGAGAAAATATACCTAAACCAGTGCTTCTTGAGGGCATGTCCATGAGCAAATCTTTAAAAGATTCTTGTTCTTCGACAGGCTGATCGAATGTTTGGATTGAATGTTTTCAAGATTGGATATGTTTTCTTTAATATTTGGCTGATGATCAGTAGGCAAAGCTGCAGCGAACATCTCTTCGGTAAAAACGGTACGATTCAGTGGGAAAATTCCTGTTTTTATAAAACCATTAATGACATTTAATGGAGTAGATGCTCATAGGTAAGCTTTTTCAAATAGGTGAGGCACCTCTCTGAGATAGTTACACATCGCACTGGATAATGTCTTAGCCACACTTCTATTTCTTGCGTATAAAATGTACTTAATGGATACATTAAGGAAATATCCAAGGGTTGCATCCTATGGCTCGTATGAGGAGGCAGGCAAATTATTGTCAATCAATTTTCACGTGCTTTATCAATAATAGCAATATTTCTGTATGGGTTTTATGACCATCCAATATTAAGAGAGATAGGTTTTCTTTCAATGATTGAGTGTGATGAAGAAAATGGTCAAACCATTGTTCAAACAAGTTAAGCTGCATCCCGCCAGATTTATCAGTAACGACTAAGGTTTTTGGCGATGCACCCTCTGAGAACTGCGGCCTCATACGAACTCTGGGAATTATGATCATCGGAGAAACAAATATTCCACTGGTACTTATGCAGATTACAGCAGTAGAAAGCTCCCCGCGTTTTGCAGATGTTAGGGTGCCGAACCGTTTTCTACCCTTGATAGCAATCACTTTTGATGGACGACCTTGAACTGTTGTAATCCCGGTTTTGTCAACGTTAAAAATACGGGAGGGTGGAAAGTTCATTTTTTCTTGAAGAGCCTCCAAAATGTCAAAAAATGATGAAACTGCTTTCTTGTTAAAACTTCGAGCACGTGCAGCTGATGTTGCTTCAGGCAAATGGAACGAAAGTTTATTCCATTTCAAAAAAGCGCGAAGCTATTCCCATCCAGCCAACTTGGTGTTTTTGTTTAAATTATGTTTGATGTTGTTTTTCTCTACTATCTGATATGACAAGCTATGGATGAAACGAGTTGTAAGATCAAATATCATAGTTTTCATATTCTTTGCATATGTTACCAATTGCTGCTCCAATTCTAGGGGAAATGTAGATAGTCGGCTTAGTAGATATTGTACATAGTAATTTAGAATGACCTGTTGCGGATTTATTTCTTCCTTTGAACCTTCTGTCTAATGTTGATTTTGGAACTTCATATTTTTTTGGATGCTTTTAGAAATCCACAAGTTCCTTTTTCTAATGCTTCCAGAGCGCTGGCCATAGATTTTTCCGACAATTTTTGACGCTCAGTCTTTCGTTGGTAATTTCTAGGTATCTAAAACAAAAACAATTCTTCTAAGTTTATTCTTATATTACCCTAAACAAGCTTGAATATTTTTTGCTTTTAAAAGTCTTTTATTTTTAAAAAAATTATGATTTTGACGTAACTATAGAATTTTCTTATAAGGGGTAAAATGGGATATCCCATTTTACCCCACCCGGTTATTTCCCGTTTTACCCCACATGCTATTTAAAAAAACTTGTGCTTGAGCTTGTAAGCTCAATATGAGTTGGTTCACTCAAAAAACTTATTCAAATTATGCGCGAGCACTACACATCATCTGAGCTCAAAAATTATTTTAAAACTTGTTTAAAACAAAAGTTACAGCTTAAAACGTGGGATCCGAAAATCACATCAGGCACCTGTCAAAACACATATTTTGATCTGAGCACGAGGTCGGGTGTTTGAACTACGGCGCGTTCGAACTACAAGTCAAGGCTCATTAGATGAATATTTTAAGTATTTTTCACCGCAGCTGACATCATTGGTAGGCCGCTAGAGGCACTATCCCGTTTTACCCAAGTATCCCATTTTACCTCACCTTTCCCTAAGTGATACAAGTACAACTTTTACTTATAAGGAACATTTTGTTTCAGAACAATTACTCCGCGTAAGTTCCAAGTTTCCACAAAATGGAGACATCAGAAATTTCCAACTGGTATCGGGACCAGCATGTCTTTATAACTGGAGCTACTGGTTTTATGGGTAAAATTTTGATAGAAAAGTTATTAAGGTCATGTCCAGATGTTGCTGCTATATATGTAATTATAAGAAGTAAAAAGGGAAAGAATGCAACACAAAGATTGGAAGAGCTTTTAAATTCAGTAGTAAGTAGAATTTTTTTATATATTTTAGTAATTAAGTAATATTTAGCCATTTTTTAGAAAATTTAGCTAAGAATTATTTACGAAGTATTTATGGTGTGTAATTGTAATTCAATATTATTTGAGTAGCATATATAGCATAATATTTTTTCCGATACGGAGAGTTCTTGGCATTCGAAAGTAATGTAATTTTTTCTAGTTAAAAAAGAATGTCACATCTACTATAAGTTATTAGCGACTACATAAGATAAGTTATAATAAGTGGTATATATGTATAGATTTATCCGATATAGATCGGTCGATGCCGATGTAAGATGGGATCCATATAAAATTGAATAGCTTATTTATTTCCTGGGCAACTAGAAGTTCAGATTCAATTTTCTTTTCTATGAAGTGTTTGCAATATAGATGTTATATGAGGGCGATAGAGCTAAGAGAATAGAGTACCGATTGTTCACATGTTATTATTATTATTATTAGGATCTGAAGTAGAAAGACATGAATAATAATGGAAAAGAGAAGCTGATTCTGCAAGTGAATATAGTCAAAAAAATGATGTTCCTCTTTTTTTAATAAATATTGTACCGAAAGTCAAAAAGTTATTTAATATTGGATCGTTTTCGGGATATTTCTATAAATATTATTTTGGTTTACACTTGCACTTGTCATATCTTCCTAAATGTTGTTCCTTTTAAATACGAGTAAAAAACTGAATATACATAATATGGCTGATTTTAGATTTTTGATAGTATAAGGCAGTTACCAGATTCCAAATCAATATTTGAAAAAGTCAAATGCATCACCGGCGATGTAACTGAAGAAAACTGCGGAATCTCTGCTAAAGATCAAGAATTATTGGAAAAATCGGTGACCAGTGTATTTCATATGGCAGCTAATGTAAAATTTGACTTAACAGTCAAAACGGCGATACTTTTGAACACCGGAGGTACATTAAATGTTCTGGAATGGGCTTGCAAGTTACAAAATTTAAAGATTTTCGTACATGTTTCAACTTCTTATTGTCATTGTGATGTTACAGAATTAGAAGAAAAGTTATATGATGCTCCTCAAGATCCTAGGTAAGTCGCAAATGTTTATTTCTTTTATGACTGCTGTTTTTTAAAAGTAACTGAATAAATATTTGATAAGCTCGTTCAAAAGAACTTCTAACTAAATTAAAAAAGAAAGGTATAAATTCGTCATATATTTATGAATAAAATATATTAGTTTTAATATTTATAAATAAAGACAACACTGTGTGAGAACGAAGTTTCATCTTTATCTTGGTGCTACAGCTACAGTATAAAGAGGTTTCATGGAACCGTGGAACCTCTTTATACTGTGCTGCAGCCATTAAAGGGCCTCGACCTTCTCAAGGTTTCTACGCCAACCTGTTCTGTCCCTTGGTTGCATTTTCCAGTTGCCGACTCCGATCTTCTCCGCATCTTGTGTTACCCCATCCATTCACCTCAGCTTTGGTCTACCCCGGGCTACATGTCCTGTAGATGATAGAGCGGATTCATCTGTTTTAGTTAGCGTCCATATGTGAGAACGGGGACTATCAGTGTTCTATACAGCCTTATACGAGTTTTTTTAGACAGACGTTTGTTAGCTAAGTACTTTGATAAACCATGATAACACCTGTTTGCAATTATTATTCGCCTTTTTATTTCCTCGGATGTGTTATTATTGGGGTTAACCGATGTCCCTAGATATATGAACTCTTTGACAGCTTTTAAGTTTTGCTCATTAATGATTAAATTTGGGTCAACATTTCCAGCTCTTGTTTGAGATAGTCGCCATGAATTTGGTTTTATTTTGATTTATATATAAGCCCATTCGTTCTGCTTTTGCTACTAGCTCAGTTAGGATTATTGAAGTTCTCGCCCTAGTTCTTGTTGTAATGTCCACGTCGTCGGCATATGCTAGAATTTGGACTGATCTATTAAATATTGTTCCCCTGCAATCTAAATTAGCGTCTCGTACAACTTTTTTTTAAGGCGACATTAAAAAGCTGACACGCCAGCGCATCTCCCTGCCTTAACCCGCTATGTATTTCAAATGGGGTTGACGAGTCGTTTTGAATTTTTACTGCTGATAGCATCTTCGTCATTGTCATTTTGATCAAACATATGAGTTTTTTTTTGAGTTATTAACTCATTTATAGCGTTGTAAAGACTTGGTCTTAAGACACTGTCATATGCCGCTTTAAAATCGACAAAAATATGATACATATCTATGTTAAAATCTTGCGGTTTTTCGAGGATCTGTCGTAGTGTAAAGATCTGGTTAATAGTTGAACGCCCACGCCTGAATCCTGCCTGACATTCTCCTAGAAACATTTCGGTATAAGGCTTTAATCTCTCGTGCAAAATGTTTGACAATATCTTGTATGCTGTATTTAGGAAAGTTATTCCGCTGTAGTTATTGCATTCCAGTTGATTTCCCTTTATGTGTAACGGGCAAATTAAGCCTGAGTTCCATTCTTCAGGCATTTGCTCCTCAGACCAAATTCTATAAACAATTTCTCGCATCACCTTGGTCAGCTGCTCTCCACCGTGCTTAAATAACTCTGCTGGGATGCAATCGCCTGTGGTTCCTTAGTTTTTCGAGTACGAAGTTTATGATCGCTGAAATATTAGAATGAATGTACCAAGATTAATTTATCTAACAAGATTACCACAGAATAAAAAATTACTTATTCATTACTTAATAATATTAATATTTCCATGGTACTTAATCTTCTTAATAACCTGCCTTAGAGAAAATATGCTGTTTATAGAGTATTTGCCTGCACGAAAATTTTATTCTTCTCCATCTGTCATGTCTTTTTTAATTTATTTTTTTTTATTACGTTTCCATAGAATCGTGAGAGTGAATGTTTGACACTTAGCCCTCTGTAGTTTGAACAATTTTTTCTACTTCCCTATTTGTAAATGTTGTTAATATGTGCCTTTGTCCATTTTGGTGGTAAGTTATATTCTTAATAGAATAAGGTGAAATTTCGTTCGATATACCTTGTGGTTTGCATGCTTTTCGATTTTTTAGATTTCGTATTGCATATTCGACTTCCCGTACTCTTATTCATTTAACTTTATGGTATTCCACTTTGTTTCTTCTTTCAGTACCCTGTCCGATTATCGGACGTTGGCGATCATATTGGCATTAATAATACAAGGATCTACAGACCGAGAGTTTGTACAGACCGAGAGATATTAAAGTTTTTAATATTGGCAATATTATTAAAACTTTTAATATTATTTTTTAATATTAATAATACATTATTATATACATTATAACATTAATATGAATGAATAGAAACGATAACATTTAAATTTGGAAAATTGTAACTCCAGTCGACTAGTTCACGAACTTACAAGTACGATTGCGCGAAGCCGTGGAATTTGTACCAAACTCTCGGTCTGTAGATCCTTGTTTAATAACTTTATTTACGGCGGCTCTAAATAAATTAGATTTTTTTGGTTTCTTGATACCATTCTCGGAGATTTCAGAGCCAGGATGTTCTTCGTCGGTCTGGGCCTGTCCTTCCGGCGATCTTACCCTATATAATGAGGTGTAAAAGGTTATACCTCTCTGGATGTGTCATTACATTACCGAAATATTGTAACTTTCGAATTTTTATCGTTTTTGTTATTTCTGTGCTCTTTTTCATTCGATGTAAAACTATTTCATTTCTTATTCGATCAACCCAACTTATCTGCAATACTCGTCGATAAATCCACATCTCAAAGGCCTCTAATTTTTTCATTAATGTCTCTGTAAGTGTTCAGCTCTTCATACCATACAGCAATGTGGAGAATATGTAACAGCGTATTGATCTGATTTTAAGGTTTAACTTAATATCTCTATTAATTAGAATTTTCTTTAATTTATAGAAGGTAACTCGGGCTTTTTCAATGCGTATTCTTATTTCTTTATTTATATCCCAGTTATCGTTAACGTTTGCACTCAAGTAGGTAATATTGTGGACTCTTTCTAACTCTATTCCATACGCTCTGATGTTCGTTGGTTGTAAATATGTTTTGCTGACAACCATAAATTTTGTCTTAGAAGCATTAAGTTTTAGCCCATATTCATCGCATGCTTCGGTTACCCTGTTTATAAGTCGTTGCAGGTCTTCTTCATTGGAGGCAATAAGTACCGTGTCGTCTTTATATCTGAGATTATTGACAATAATTCCGATGATTTTAATGCCTGTATCTTCAACTAAGGCTTCTTTGTAAATAAATTCGGAGTAGATATTAAAAAGTAGGGGCGATAGAATACATCCTTGCCTCACTCCACGTCGTATTTCCACTGCTTCCGTCGTATTGTGTGTCCAGCTCGTATGTTTGCACACTCATGCCAATACAAATTTTTGATAATACGGAGGTCTCGGTCATCAATTCCCACCTGTTGCAAGACACCTATAAGTTTGTCATGATTTACTCAGTCAAAGGCCTTTTCGAAATCGATAAATCACATATATACTGGTTGTTCTATATCCCTACATCTTTGAACCATGACCTGCAAACTGAAGAGTGCTTCTCTGATTCCAAGGTTGTTTCTGAAACCAAATTGTGTTTCACTTAGTTGTACTTCTATTTTGTTGTAAATTCTCGAGTGCAGCATTCTTAGGAAAATTTTTAGTACATGACTGAAGAGTGCGTTTCTGGTTCCAAGGTTGTTTCTGAAACCAAATTGTGTTACACTTAGTCGTACTTCTATTTTGTTGTAAATTCTCGAGTGCGGTATTCTTAGGAAAATTTTTAGTACATGACTTATCATACTGATAGTGCGATCATCGCTACACTGTTTGGCATATATTTTTTTCGGTATCATTACAAATGTTGACAGTAGTCAGTCTGTTGGTATAATGTCCTGTTTCGTGTATTTTATTAAAGAGGCTTAAAAGAAAATGTTTGCTCTTATCGTCGAGCAGTTTGATTATTTCGCTTGGAATTTCATCTGGTATTTGCCGGTTGCTTTTCTATTCTTTGGTAGCTTTATAGCTCTTTCCATTTCATCTAGTGTTATGTTTGGACCAGTCGATATACTTTTGATTTGACTTTATATGTTGGTAAAATTATGTTGTGTAATAAAGTTGTGGGTCTTGCGTACTCCAAGATATTTCTTCTATTAAATCTATTCTTCTCGCTTCTTTTCTGTTTGGGCTCATGTATTTTTGCCTTAGTTACTAAATTTTTACTTTTTTATATATGTATAAAAAATGTAAAATATAGGTACAAAAAAGCTCCTGGAAAAATTGGAAGCGTTCTTTTTTGAGCAAGCAGACAGTATAGGTTAAATAAAAATAAGGTTGTGTTATCTGTAGGCAAGTATTATATAATTAATGTTCTGTATCCCAATTAGTTTTTATCTCATAGTGGAAGCCGTTCAGTATGTTTTCACTCGTTGGCTTACTTAAATAGTTTTGAAAGCTTATTAGGGTTGAAAACACCTTTGCTTCTTCATGGAAATAGAGGTACTCGTGGTCAACTTTGTCTCAAAATTTATCATTCATTCATCAAATTATTCAGGTTGCTGAATGCCGTTATGTGGTCTGTTTTAGTTGCTTTGATAGCGACAATGTATACTTCATGACTTTTTAAAAAATTACTGGGCACATACCTAACAAAATTTTAATTTCGAAGTGTGTTAAGCATTTGGACGGCTTGTTGCGATATTTGTTTATTGTGAGTAGATTTTTTGAGAGACAAGCAGCCTTTTTTGATGATCAGCCTGTAACAGATTTCATTTCATTTTGGATTTGGGAATTCTTTATCACCACGATACACTTAAATAATGCTTTATCCCCATCAGCTCTAAATCATCTAATCATATGCTCTAAAATTATTGTTTTTCTGAGGTGTTTGTTCAGACTAAGGCGTAATGTGGATCCGTCTCGAATCAGTTTTATCACTTATAGGTAACCTTGTTTGCCGCAAAAATTATTCTATTTACAATAGCGACTAGTTTCTTTTAGGGAAAAGTCTGTTAGGCCTTTTAATTGTGAATGTTAATATCTTAACTTTTCTGGGGAGGGGGGAAAGGTGATCCCTCATGACCACCCCTGGCTAAGCTCGTGTCTGTAAAAGCTGTTTTTAAAATGTTCTCATTTGAAAAACAGCTTTTGATCCGGAATCTTTTCGGAATTTAATTCGGGTCTCTTACCATTCTACCCATATTGGGTAGACCCAAAAACACGTGTAAGAGAATGGTAAGAGACTCAAATTAAATCGAAACGCAACCGTCATTTATTTTGTTATTGTCCTTACCCGACGCAATGAGTACAAAAATGATAGTAATTTATATGGGTAAATTGTTGATGCATAGTGGAATATAAATATTCTCAGCATCGCTCTGAATGGCTTGATTAAGCTTGGATATACAGTTTACTTTAATTACTATCGATATTTAACTTCATATTTCCTCACTAGAGGTCTCTAGTAGCATACTCTGGTAATAATTTTCCTATAGTTGCCATTTTGGTTTGGTTTGAGTCTTCTTACAAGCTCTCTCTGATGACGGGTAGACCCAGAAACACGTGTGGGACAAAGTAGTTTAACAAAAAACTCGCATATAATAGTACTTATTTCATCATCATCATCTTGGTGCTACAGCCCTTAGAGGGCCTCGACCTTCTCAAGCTTTCTACGCCATTTTGTTTTGTCCCTTGCTTGCATTTTGCAGTTGCCGACTTTGATCTTCTCGGCATCGTGTGTTGCCCCGTCCAACCATATTAGCTTTGGTCTACCCCGTCTTCTCATTCCCACGGATTGCGCTTTTAGAATCTTTTTTATCATGTTCGATTCAGGGGCCTGGGCTACATGTCCTGCCTACTGCAGGCGGTTTCGCTTAATTATAGTGGTAATATCCTTACCACCAAACGTATACTTGTAGATATTCTGCAGTTCAAAGTTATATCTACGCCTCCATATTCCGTTCTCACAGACCGCTCCGAATATCTAGCACCTTTTTTGCAAAAATCGATAGAGCAGATTCATTTGTTATAGTTAGCGTCCATGCCTCTGATCCATATTTAAGAACGGGAACTATCAGTGTTCTATACAGCCTTATCCGAGTTTTTTGAGACAGACGTTTGTTAGCTAAGTACTTTCATAGACCATGATAACACCTTTTCAATTATTATTCGCCTTTTTATTTCCTCAGATGTTTTATTATTGGGGTTAACCGATGTCCCTAGATATATGAACTCTTTGACTGCTTTTAAGTTTTGATCATTGATGATTAAATTTGCGTCAACATTTCCAGCTCTTGTGTTTGTGTTAGTCGCCATGAATTTGGTTTTATTTTGATTTATATGTAACCCCATTCGTTCTCCTGCTGCTACTAGCTCGGTTTGGATTTCCGCAGTTCTCGCCCTAGTTCTTGTTTATAATGTCCACGTCGTCTGCATATGCTAGAATTTGGACTGATCTATTAAATATTCTTCCCCTGCTATCTAAATTAGCGTCGCGCACAACTTTTTCTAAGGCATCATTAAAAAGCTGACACGCCAGCGCATCTCCCTACCTTAACCCCCTATGTATTTCAACTGGGGTTGACGAGTCGTTTGAATTTTTACTGCTGATAGCATCTTCGCCGTTGTCACTTTTATCAAACATATGAGATTTTTTTTGGAATTCCTAACTCATTCATAGCGTTGTAAAGACTTGGTATTAAGAAACTGTCATATGCTGCTTTAAAATCTACAAAAATATGATACATATCTATGTTAAACTCTTGCGCTTTTTCGAGAATCTGTCGAAGTGTAAAGATCTGGTTAATGGTTGAACGTCCACTCCTGAATCCTGCCTGATATTCTCCTAGAAACGTTTCGGTATAAGGCTTCAATCTCTTGTGCAAAATGTTTAACAATATCTTGTATGCTGTATAGTAATTATTTACTGATTAATAAATCTGATTTGTTTTTTAGAAAAATGCTTGATATGGTAAAATGGATGAGTGATGACTTATTGGAGACATTGACTCCTAAACTTTTGAGTAAATATCCAAACAGCTATGCCTATACAAAAGGTCTAACTGAACAACTTGTTTCCGAATATAGTACCAAATTGCCAATTGTTATCACCAGACCTTCCATAGGTAAATATTATCAACTACAAACTTAGTTCTAATTTTAATTATAAATATATACCACAAGATATATAATCACTGTAAGTTATTAGTTATTAGCACTTCTTTTTTAACATTATTCAAGTTTTTCATAGATAATTTATGTAAAGCTTTCATAAAGATATGCAATCTGCAATAGAGTAAGTTTATTTGGACTGTTAATATAAGAGGTAGGAATTTTTGTGTTATATGTTTTAACAGTCAATTTGTTATTCGCAAGCTGAGCGAACAAACCATAATAAAACAAATATCTTAACGCAATTCGGTAAATAATAAATTGTTACTAAATACATTAAAATTGGTTTCATAGAAAGTTTATTAACGTAATTTCTTGAAAATTTACCAAATTTGCCTACATGGTGTCCAAATCTTACTCATACACATAGTTTCAAAAGTTATGCCCCCAAAATTTTCGCTATTATTAACTATTTTTAGAAACTACTGTTATGGATCATTTATAAAAAAATATCATAACATTGACAGATATTTTTTGTTTTAAAAGAGATAAGGGAGGATGGGAGAACTGTACTCAGCGGTTAGTTATGCGCAGAGTCGGTTCTCCGACTTAAATATACCGGTCTTAAGTGGTGTCATGTGCGCACGAAATGACTAATAAGTCATATTATTTGGCGGGCAGATATATTGCTATACGTGCTTACGAATTTCAGTTGTTCTTGAGACGTTAATAATAATAAATATATTTCTATAAAAAACAGCCATACAAAGTATCAATGTGCATATTATTTGGGTTAAGCCTAGATATACCTTCTTTGTGTGCCGTGCTTGTATTCAAGCGTTGGCTATCGTCATATTGACAAGCTAATGAAATCATTCTCGGTCGGCAGCTAGATGAAACAGCTCCTCGACCGTTCGACCTGTCCGTCGTCCAATGTTACGCAGCCAGAACAGTTGTTTTCTTCCGGCCCAACGTTTTCCTTCGATTTTGCCCTGAATGATTAACCGGAGTAAGTGATATTTAGGTCCTGTCATTATATGACCGAAGTATTGGACCTTTCTTTTTTTGATGATGTTGATCAATTCTCGCTCTTTGTGCACGGTCTCTAGCACACGTTCGTTAGATATGTGTGCTATCTGAGCATGCGACGGTAACACCACAACTCAAATGCTTCTAATTTGTTAAGATTTTTTATTTTTGTTGTCCAGGTTTCACATCCATAGAACAATAGCACGTAGCACTTCAATACTTTTAGACGTGTGGTCAACGACAGACTTCTACTGCATAATACAGACCGCCAGTTAATAAAGTTTTTCCGTGCGAGTTCTATTCTGGTCGAAATTTCGTCGTCACTTTCAACCCTGCAGTCAATCCAGCTACCCAGGTATCTAAAGTGTTCCACCCTTTCCAGGATTTTGTTATCTAATCTTAGTACTGAGTCTTCGATATTAATTTTTCGGACCATCATCCATTTTGTTTTTTTTTGCGTTGATTGTTAAGCCCTTTTCAGTGCATTCGTTGTTTACAGCATTCAACAGGGTTTGAAGATCTTCTAGACTCTCTGCCATTATTGCGGTGTCATCGGCGTATCTGATGTTATTAATAATTTCACCACCGATCTTAACACCTTCGCGGCGATTATTTAACGCTATTTCAAAAACTGGTTCAGTGTAGGCATTAAACATCATCGATGACATAACACATCCCTGTCTGACACCACGCTTAATAGAAACTTTAGCTGAAACCTCTTGGTTCACCTTAACACAAGCGGTCTGATTGTAGTAAAGATTTTTGAGCAATCTAATGTCATACGTGTCCAGACCAACTGAGTCTAAGCATTGAAATAATAATGTATGTGGTACTCTATCAAAGGCTTTTTCGAAATCTATAAAACATACGTAAATATTTTTCCTAAACTCAATGCTCTTTTGTAAGAGTATTCGCATGCAAAAAAGAGCTTCTCGAGTACCCATACCATTTCTTAAACCAAACTGCTCATCACCAGTTATCCCCTCACAAAGTTTATATATGCGACAATGCAATATTTTCATAAAAATTTTGAGCGTGTGACTCATTAAACTGATAAGTCGATTATCTCTACACTGTCTGGCATTCTTTTTCTTGGGAATAGTTATAAATATCGATTCTAACTAGTTGTCTGGTAAATTGCCGCTGCTGTATATCTTACATATTATAGAAGGATGTGATAATCGCAACACTCTCATTATCTAATAGTTTTATCAATTCTGCAGGTACTTCATCAGGACCAGAAGCCTTCCTTCGTTTCGCTTGGTCGATAGCCTTCTGAACTTCTGAGATTAGAATCGGCGGGACTGTATCTCGGTTAGATGTTATTTCGTGGTAGATTCTTTGGTCATCGTTAAATAAGTTTATACATTATTACATATATACTTTACAGTTTGCAGATGATCAGATGGTGATCTCAAATGACAAAGACGACATGGAATACATGCTTAGAAAACTAATTGAAGAATACCAGAAATGGGGATTAAATATCAATTTAGAAAAGACAAAATACCTCTCAATTGGAGCTGAAGCAGAACAACTCGATATCGATGACAATCAAAAAGTAAATCCATGTGACGAATATAAATACCTGGGCGTCATCTTCGACCGTAGTGGAAAAGACGAACGAGAAATAGAACATCGAATTGTACAAGCACGAAGAGCTATAGCATGTTTTAAACGGAGTTCTATGGAGTAAAGAAATATCAAAGAAAAGAAAATGGAACATCTATGAGACAATGGTTAAAACTAGCCTACTTTATGGAGCTGAGACATGGAGAATAACCGAGAAATATAGGAAAAAGGTCGAAGCCACGAAAATGGATGCCATCAGAAGATCGATGAGAATATCAAGAGCCGACAGAATACGGAATGAAGTGATAAAACAACAAATGGGTATAGAGGGCACTATAGTTGAGGATATTGAGAGAAAACAGCTCATATGGTATGGACATGTGAGCCGAATGGGGGACGAAAGATTGCCTAAAAAAACGATGATGTGGCAACCCCCAGAGAAGAGGAAACGAGGAAGACCACCACAGAGCTGGAACCTGGGAGTTAGGAAAGCGATTAGCGCTCGAAATCTGGACGAAGACCTAACTCAAGACCGAATACAGTGGCGGTTGGGAGTCGGACAACGTCGTAAGACGTTATAAAATCGAATGTATATATAAATAAGTTTATTATTTAATTTTCCCATTCCATTTCATATTCCCAGCGCTCTTTAATATCACTTAAAATTCTACCACCAGAGTCTTGTAATATATTTTACCCGTAAGTTCTGCTTTTACCTATTAATTCTTTTAGTTTTTTATGCAAATGGAAGCTGTTGTATTGTTGCTCCAGTTTCTCAATTTCTAAACAGGATTCTTGTAGCCATCGGTCTTTTGCTACTTTAAGTCTTTTTCGGATTTCTTTATGTATTTCATTGTATTTTTCTCTGTTTATGGATTTATACTGCCTCCGAATGTCCATTAAATCTTGTGATGTCTTGTGTCATCCAGTCATTTTTAACTGTTGGTTGTCTTAGAAGATTTTCTCGAGATGTAGTGATTATTGTCGTTTTCATTTGTTCTTAGCAATCATCTATGTTGTTGGTATCTTCTAGTCTAATTTCGTGGAACTTGTTATTAATTTCTTGAGAAACCTTATTTAGAGTGCATGGGTCTTAGAGTGCATCTAGTGATATTTTGGAGGTTTTCTGATTTTTACAGACTCTCTTTAGCTTAACTGTGATTGTAGAGCACAGTAGAGTATGGTCTGACCGAATATCGACACCTGGGTAAGTCTTGACCGATTTTATGCAGTTTTTAAATCGTTCATTGACTGTTATATAATTAATTTGATTTCTTACAATATTGTCTCCTCGATCGCTTGGAGATTAGATATATGGGTAGATCATTTCCTGTAGAAGATTCTCCCATTCTTCTCTTTTAGAAGAATTACTTCAGACATGAACAGCTCTAAAGAGTACATCCCAGGCATGTTGAATGAGTTTCATGTCTGGAGACATCGCAAGCAACTCTAAACCGCGAATACGTTATGTCTTAATATATTAAGACATAACGTAAGCTTAAGTCCTATGTGGGCCAGCGTTATCATCCATAAATACACAATTTTCACTCACAGGTCCTAGCCATAACCCCAAAGAAAGTTTTAAAATCCTTGTGATGTAGCTTTGTCCTGTCAGAGTCCAGTCAATAACCACCAATTTCGTGTATCCACCTGCCATAATACCCGCCCAAAACATAACACTGTCATTAGCGAACGAAAGTATGGAAGGGGCATGTGCTAGTTGTGGAGCTCTTGTTGGCTTTTACCAAACACGATTTCCCTGACTATCACTATTTAAACATATTCTGGTCTCATCTGCAAAAAGCACAAAATTCCAAAACTGTTAAGGTTGCTGTATGTGTTTTTGAGTCCACTGGAGGTGATACAAAACATGTCTAGGTTGAAGCTAAGGAAGTTTTATTGGTCGAAGTCTCCTCAAATCTGTATCTAAAAGTCCTTTTCTTATTGTAGCCAACGGTTTTCTGACTCCTGTGCATGTCTAAAGTCTCTTTGGAATTTGTCTAGAAACCTAGTTCTTATTTATTAGACATCACTCTGAGAAACACCCACTTTTTCGGTCACAGACCACTGTAAATGGCCTTTAACTTAAGCGATTATTCTTGCACAGTCCAAAAATTAAATTTTGATTCATTCGTTTTTACAAATTTTGATAGAATAAATTTTTCAAATGGTTATTGCTGCAAAACCAGAATAAATAAAATACGAGTAAAAAATAAAAAAAAGGTGTTACTTACTTACTCCGTGGCGTTACAACCCTTCGTGGGTTTTAGTCGACTCGACAACATGCCTCCACTGTTTTCTGTCTTGAGCAACCTCCATCCAATTCTCCACGCCCATAGTGCTTAGGTCTCCTGCTATATTATCTCGCCACCGGAGACGAGGGCGTCCGCGTTCGTTCGTCAGAATGTCTTCTGAGGTGTCCTGCCCATTGAAGTCTTCTGGACTTTATTTCTTTTATGATGTTGGCGTCTGGGTAAAGTTCTTCAAGCTCTTTATTAGTTCTTATCCTATATTGTCCTGATGCTTCATCAAGCGCCGGACCAAAGATCTTCCTTAGGATTTTTCTTTCCCAAACACGTAGTCTCTCTTCATTTGCCTTTGTTATCGTCCAAGTTTCGCTTCCATACATCACAACGTGTCGTATGATTGTTTTATAGACCTGTATCTTCGTACGTCGTGTTAGTTGTTTTGATTTTATAAGGTTTTGGAAGGGAAAAATACATCTGTTGCCGGCCTGAATCCTGTTGAATATTTCTTGTGATCCGTTATTGTCTTTAGTTATTGTTGTTCCAAGATACTTGAATTATCTATAATTGGTTTCAAATGAGTGTAGAGTAATAAATCATGAAGTGTCATAAAATTTGCCTGAATTTCGGTGTCGTCATGGGCGTAGGCAAATGGACGGATGTCAACTTCGTCGTCAAAAATTGATGTACCTCAAAATATCATATTTTGGATATTTTGTGATAACCAATTTTATTTAATTTTTCGATTAACTTATTCTTCAAACTCGTATTCCATTATATGGTCATTAAAGCTAATTACATTTTTATTTATAAAAACAAATTCACTTCCTTACTGAACGAATAAAAGCATTAGAAGAAACTGATAAGGGTATGACGCACCTCCTAATATTACTAAGAACTAAAATAAATCAACATGAAGACTAATAACGCGTAATGAGGTTTTACTTACACTTTCATAAAACACGATCACCCTAGTTTGTCTGTGCAAGAAAGTGTTGAGTGATGTGCCCGAATGACTGGAATTGGACAGTCCACGATTTTTAAATTATTGCGAGAAAGAAAGATATCAGGCCAGTTAAGTCCATGCAAGAGAAAATCAGGAAGACCAATAAAAATCTTAGGTGAAGACACCAAACGTGACATTCGAAGAAAAGTTCATTCGTTTTATTTTAAAAAGGAAATACCCACCCTTGACAAAATACTAATGGAGATAAGCCAAGATAACGATATTCCTTTGATATCCAGAAAACTTTTATGGAAAACTTTAAAAAGTATGAATTTTTCCTGGAAAAAGCACAATCGAAAGGCACTATTACTGGAAAGTGATGAAATAATTTGCTGGAGACGAAAATATTTGAGAACTATAAAACAGTACCGCAGAGAGCACAAGAAAATTTTTTATCTTGATGAGACGTGGATAAACGAAGGTTATATAGTCCAAAAAATGTGGCAAGATAAAAATGTAACAAGTGCTCGCCAAGCTTTTATAGAAGGCCTTTCGACGGGTATTAAAGTGCCTTCGGGAAAAGGGAAGAGGCTTATAATTGCTCACATTGGAAGCGAAGAAGGATTTTTAAAAGAAGGTTTGTTAAGCTTTGAGTCGTGTCGGACGGGAGATTATCATGAGGACATGAATTCGGATGCCTTCGAAGACTACTTCGGGGAAATGTTAAAATTTCTTCCAGCTGATTCGGTCGTGGTTATGGATAATGCAAGCTACCATTCAAGGCGCATAGAGAAGGTACCAACTTCAGCTTGGAGAAAGCAAGAAATTATTAACTGGCTGTCAAATAAAGGTATTCAGTTTGAGACGAATTCAATAAAGAAGGAACTACTAGCCGTAGTAAAACAACATAAATCTCGCTTCATAAAATATGCCGTAGAAGATGTAGCAGAAAAGTATAAAGTAACTGTGCTACGCCTACCGCCATATCATTGCGAATTAAATCCCATAGAACTTATATGGGCACAAGTTAAAGGATATGTTGCAAGGCACAATACCACATTTAAAATGAAAGATGTCAAGGTATTGTTTGATCAAGCCATTATGGAAATCACATCAGAAAACTGGCAAAAAGCAATCCAGCATGTTTTAAAAGAGGAAGATAAAATGTGGGAACTGGACAATTTGGTCGATCAGGTGGTTGACCCTATAATTATAACACCAGGGGATGATGACAGTTCTTCGGATGAAGACTATAGTGATGTAGAATTGTAATAACGTATCCAGTAAAGTTTTTGTAGTTTTTGTGAATAAATTGATTTAAACTCCCCACAAGTGTTTTAATATGTAAAGTTCATTCGTGTGTGTTTGTGAGTATTTCCCGATTTCGGTTCGTATATATTTTATTGTTACATTTTATATTTTTTTAATAACACTGTTCTGCTGTATTACATTTTTATTTCCTTTAATATGATTTTTAAGAATGCATATTCTTTTGTCAATTAACCCACTAGCGCGCCTCTGGCTCAGTGTTTATCTGTCGATAACAATGGACTAATCCCTTAAAACAGGGTGATACCTACCTGCTCTTTATGAAACGACAGAATTTTGCAATGCGGACGGAATTTATTGACGGATTATTGACGGATTACCCTGTAGCGCTTTTGAATACTTCATGAGATTTTATTACTCTACACTCATTAGAAATAGATTATAACGCGCTCAAAGTTAAAGTCATCGATGGTAATGTTCTGACCGATTCTGTCTCTGCTTTGGTTATTGCGGGTGTAAAAAAAGGTGTATTCTATATGAAAAAGGCCTATTAAATATATAACAAGAATACATATTTATAAACGTTTAAAAATCGAGGAGTGATGCATACATTTTAAAACTATATGTATATTTTATTGTCATTGTTTCATATACGTTCATAGTTTATATATTTTCAGTATTTGCTGCATACAAAGAACCTATTCCTGGATGGATTGACAATTTGAATGGTCCAACTGGTATCCTTGTGGGAGCAGGCAAAGGAGTTATAAGAACAATGCATTGTAATGCCGAATTAAATACTGATTTCGTACCAGTTGATATGACAATTAATAGTTTGTTAACAGTTGCTTGGAAAGTTGGTACCGGACCCCAGAAATCTGAAGCCGAAGTGTATAACATTACAGCTAATAGGGTATGTTTAATTTAAAATAAATTTTAAGTAAATCGTATGCAATAAAATCAAAAAATGTTATGTTAAAAAAGTCTTATAGATTATACAAATGTCTCGTGAATATTCATCAATGCATAAAATATTTAGCTTTAATTCTTTCAGGTGCTTCGTTTAGGTGTCTTCTACCATAGTCCAATGAAATGTAGATGTCCTACCGACCCTTCCCAAATTTTTTCTTCAAGATATGGTTCTTTTTCTGTGCTTATTTTTTTCCTTTGGTTTTCTTTAAATAGGACTAATTTTAATACCTCACCTCTTCTGAACGGATCATTTCACACTTATGCATATTTTATTTCTCTTGGTGATAATTTGTGTCCTTTATTTTATTTATCTCAAAATACTAGGCTACATACCATAAATCATAAAAAATTATTTAAAAAACCTTTTTTAAAAGGTGTATATCATTAAAAAGTTATACCCATTAAGGGGATACTCCGCAGAAAGTTTTCGGATTAGCAAGTCCATCATCGGTGCTGTTACCATGTGTACATAAGTTAAGCCACTAAATAGAAGGGTAAAATCCCTTTAAATGATATTAAATTTGTTATTTATTAGATCTTTGCTAATAAAATCATATGATCTTAAAGTTTTAAACATATGGCAGGTGCTTAGGGTCAGCAATCCCAATTGGAAGTGTTGCGTTGCCAAGCAGTATATATGTTTAAAACTTTTACATCATACAAATTTATCAGCAAATATATAATAAATAACAAATTTAATAATATTTAAAAAAAATTTATTTACATATTCAGTGCTTCACTCATGAACACATGGTAACAGCACCGATGATGGAGTTGTTAGTTTGAAAACTTTCTGTGAAGTAGACCGAAAGGGTTTTCTTAATTATATATACATTTTATAAAGGATTTTTTAAATAAAATAATAGTAGGTATTGGTCCTTTATTATTTACAATCTATGTATCTATGTACAATAATATTATTAGCTATCTGGTGTAACTTTATTTGCTTAATTTTTTTAATCCACAATCGTGCGTGTTTGATGATCACTGAGTTTATGCTTGTTCAGATTTTGGAAATAACATTTGCTAATTAAATATTCAAAGTAAATCGCCAATATTAAATATACTGCAAACTTCAAACCGTAATTGAATTGCTATTGACCTCGCACACCATAGAGCGTATATTATATGATATAGATAAGTTGCTGTACAGGTGGAGCCCCTTTATTTAGGTTTTAACAGATTAAGCCCTCGTTGCAGTAGTCGCAAATCTAGCCTTGGCGTACTTTTATCATGATCATTCTGCCTTCAGCGTCCAAAGTTGAACCCTAATTTCTTCCAGTTCTGTTGGTCTTGAGCTTCCTGCAGCTAATTGCAACGATTCCTAGACGTCGTCTGTCCGTGTATCGTGTATTTAGTCTAACTCTGCTTCTTCTATCTGCTTGTGCTCTCCACCTGTTATTTTTGGGTCCACTGCCCGTCATTCATTCTGGTCATATGGCCCACCCAGGCCCGGCTCATTCTAATCTTAATTAATTAGAGTTTTAATACCAAAAATACCTAAAAATATTACCGTAGAAGATAGGTCCTATTTTGTTTTTTTTTTTGCAAAATATGAAATTCATTAAAATAATTTAAAGGATATATTTAGATGAATATATTAAATACCGTCTTAAATACATCATTTAATAAGGATAACATTAATTTACTATTAATTTGACACTGACATAATTTGATGCATATTATCTTAAAACTAAATGACAAATATTGTAACCTTAATTGTTTATGTATTAATTATATAGTATCACTAATATGTTTTTTCACGTTTATTTATTATAGGATGATTCGCTAAGTTGGGGAACAGCACTGGAGATATGTAAGAGACACGTATTTAATTATCCATATAGTGTGATGTTATGGTATCCAGGAGGAGGACCAAAGTCAAATTATATTGTTCATTGTATTGCTGCATTTTTCTTCCACCTTCTTCCAGCTTATTTTGTGGATATGTTACTAACCTTAACTGGAAATAAACCCTTGTAAGTTTAAAAAAATTTACCGTCTAAAAGATTAAGTTATAAAGAGATATAGAAATTAAAAAACAAAAAAAAAATGAAATTGATTTAAAAATAATATATTTATGTCATTGTATTATACTTGATCTAAGAAATTAGAATGTGTACTGGATGGTTTTTCACATCCCGTAATTTATTCTGATTGATACCTTTGCTTCCATACCTCTGATTTTATTCAATTGTTATTACTAACAGTTAGAAGTTACTACACAGGCCGACAAAATTAAACCAATACTCGGACCCAGATATCAAAATATACTTTTAAGAAGGTTAAATGGCCAAATTGCCGCTGGTTTCTAAGATACTATAACCTATATGTGCAAAAATAGTGGTTTTTTGTATAGACATATAATACAAATAGACAGCGCTGCAATACAGGCCCGTTCTCCCAGTGCGGCAGAAAGAACTGACGTAAAGTAGTCCCTGCATCTCTTTTTAATGCACCGGGTTTATCCGACTACGTGACCTTCCCAATGGCCATGTAGGTCATTTAGGTAGTTAATGACAGTGAATGATCTACATGACGCTCTTAATACAGCATTTAAGAAACTTGCCCTCTAGCGAAGAGGAGTTGCATCAGAGATAAGCCATAATGGAATAAAGAACTGTCTGTGTTGAGTAAAAGAAAAAGGAAGCTATTCAAAAGAGATAAATTAACCGGAGACGGGAAAAATTAAGAACCATACGAATGAGATACTATACAGATATAAAAGAAGCGAAGAGAAACACATGGAGGAAGCCCTGTGAGGAACTTGAAAGCCCTTAAGTTTATACTAGACTTCAAAAGGTCAATCCGACTCGTTCCTAAATTATAAGATACAGAAAGAGACACGGTTTTGAAGAGCTCTTTAATGTGCACTTCTCTGGATCACAAATAGTTAAATCACCAATTGATTGTAGGCAACAAAGTTTTGCAAAGGTCCTCAAGAACTAACTGGCAGACAGTCAAAAATATTGTAAACTATGAAAAAGTCGTATGTAGTAATGGATGCTATATAACCAGCTACGATTAATAATTAAACAGTAGATAGAGGGCCGAAGTGGACCAGGCAGAGAGCCATGTCATGGCATCGCAATATTAAAACTTAAACAAACATGAACGTTCAACAAGTACCAAGAGTTGCACCAGAAGAAGAAGGATGGTATATATTCAGTGTTACTACAAAAGGGATCTGAACTTTTGAACAGCAGAATATGCAATGTACTCAGAAGTAGTATAGCCTTCGGGTACTTAAATGGAGATAAGTTAGAGGAACTGTCATTCCTAAATCGAGGACAAGAGGACCGAAAAAGGCAAAGTCCCTAAGACCAATAATTTCAATGTCATTCCTACAGACGACATTAGGGAAACTGCTCGATGGGTATATTAGGGATGGAACGTACGTAAACACTTCAATAATCAGGAACAGCATGCCTATAGAGCAGGGGAACCTAGACACCACTCCACATACTCGTAAAAAAGTGAAGAACATAATTGAAAGTAAAGATGTAGCTGGGAGCCTTTTTGGATATGCAGCGGGCTTTCGACAAAACTCCGATAACATCCATAACTAATGCCCTGAGACGTAAATGAGTCCAAGATATTTGTTTGAACTAGATAGAACCTATGCTCAAGAATAGGGTGATAAACATCACTATTTTTGGAAAGACCGTGTTGGCCCGGGTCTACAGGGTAAAGTTCTCTCCCCACAGCTTTGGAATTTGGTGATGGAGGACTGATAGCGACTTAAGGTAAATGATCGTACAATAATTGTATATGTGGATGATTTAGTAATTATCTCGCAAGAAAATGATAATATGGTAGGCAGAGGTTGTATGAATGAGGCCCCAGAACTAGTGGGACAATGGACTTATATAGAGTGGTCCACAAATCCACCATTGTCGCTTTTCACACGCAGATGAATATTAGAGGGATTAGGTCCTCTAAACCTATAGGGACAAGAAATTCAGCTAAAGGGAACAGTAAAGTAGGTCGGGGTCACATCGATTCGAAACTTACTTGGAACCAATAATTGAAAACAATAACAAGCAGTGCAGTGACAACTCTTATGAGGGTCAGACGCATTTATGGGTAAAAATGGAAATTCAAATCTGACATGGTGCAGTGGATATAACCATGGTGATCAAAGCTTCAATTATCTATAAAGCGACGATGTAGTGGACTAAGACACTTCAAACAGCTGCAAAAGCCGAAGTCAGTAAGGTGCAAAGACTTGCGTGTATTTGGATAACTGGTGCCATGCGTACTTCTCCAATAGCCACTATGAAGGTTCTATTAGACCTGCCTTCCTTGCATTTGATAATACAAGGAGAAAAAGCAAGATTGGGAGACTGCAGAATAAACCAAACACTAAAATTTTGCAATGAGAGACAGGACATATGATTATGCCAGATATTTAATGCCAGAACCAGATCACTTAATAAAAGAATACAATTATTTTAAAAATTTTTAAAGGGTAACAGAAGTCCGAACAGAAATGTATGAGGAAAGAAGGAGTACCACAACCAACGGAGTAAGATTTAATATGTAGGCGGATCCAACACTAAAGAGGGTGTAGAGACAGGAATATACTCTAATATTCCAAGAATTTATATGATTTTTATCTTGGAGAGGAACGGCACTATTTTCAAGGGAAAATTTATGCGATATTGCAATGTGCAACGGGAAATTGCGAAGGAGCCCTTAAAAAAGAGCAGATCCATATATTTCCTGACAGTCCAGTCGCACTGACGGCACTGGCGTATCAGATGTGACGTGCAAGCTGATGTAAGACTGCATCAAAGAACGGAATGAAACTGAGAGATTGGAATAAGGTTAGGTTATTACTGGTTATTACAAACGAACTGGCTATGACTCTGGTACTACCAAAGGCTGCAGTACGTAGAGCTATAGAGGAGTGGATCCAAGAAAGTCATAAAGGATATTGGGAGAGTATCCTAAATCAAATACATGAAAAAATTTCATTTGGTGGACCATGTAAAAAACGGCATTTACAATGGAGACCTTAACTGCAGACTTTAAGATAAGAGATTAGAAACTATAAAACATGTATTATGTGATTACGAGGCGCTGAGACAAAACTATATAGGTAACCAACGGAGACGGACCCAGGGAGGAAGAAAAACATTTAATATTCACACCATATGCTTGACGGAGAGACTTTAGTACTGTGTATGTTTTTGACATTATACCAAAAGCAAAATTTCGGAAGCTACAATAGTACTATTTCTTTTCATTTTATTTTTTTATCTCTTCATATTGTTTTTTTACTTATCTGGTAGTAAACATAAACATAAATTTGCAGACAGTTTTATCTTTCAAACATTGATTCAAGCAATTAAAATTTAGTAATTACTTCCTTTAAAATGATTCATTTAAGTTCAGTATTCCCAAAAGTTTAATTATACCTAAAGTTTAACGTCTTATACTTTAGGTATAATTAAAAAAAAATAATAAAAGCTTTGCTAAATCCGACGATTTTTTTGCCAGCTATCCGTAAGTGCAAAACTCGTCTTCTACTGGTAAATTTTACTTTCATCCCCAACACTAATATTATCAGTAACTACTAAACTTTAAAGAGTAGCTTTTGTGTTCTCTCTATATTATCCGTTAATATACATACTTATTTTAAATATAACTATAATTTAAAAGTACGTATTTGGTTTTGTTTTAGCTTGGTTAACATACAAAAAAAGATTAGTCATGGGTTGAGAATACTACAATACTACACAATACGACCTTGGTATTTCCACAATGACAAATTTGCCAAACTTTATGAATCTTTAAATACAGTAGACAAAGAAATATTTTACGCAAATAGAGAAAAACTAAATCACGATGAATATTTGGAGAACTACGTACTTGCTGTGAGAAAGTACTGTGTGAAAGAAGATCCCTCGACTATAGCTAGTGCTAGAAAAACGTTGAATAGGTAATTATTTTGGTGGTTTATAGTTTTAATATAATAAGTGCTTTTTTTATTTTTAAGACTTACAGCGATCACTTCCAGCGCATATCTCCTTCCTGTTTAATAATACTCTTTACTAAGCGTTATTCTATCCATTATTAGACATGACACCTATTTGTCTACTCTTAGGTCTCTATCTAGTTTATGTTCGCATCTATATTTTCACATGTTTATTAAGATCATGATACATCTTTTTTGGCATCTTTACTCTTTTGTGTTTTCATGATCAATAAAATATTATCATCTTGGGTTATTACTTCTTTAAGCATCAATTTTAGATCTGTTTTTGTACAAGCTATCAGAAGTACATGGGAAAAAAAGGTATAAAAATTTGTGGACAACGCTTGAACCATCTAAGGTACGCTGATGACATCGTATTGATAATCGATAAAAAAGAAGAACTATTTGAAACGATGAAAAAACTGGACGTAGAATCTGGAAAGATAGGCCTTAATATGAATTACAGCAAAACCAAAACTATAACAAATACAGATGAAGACATCACAATGCGAATCGGACAAGATGAAATAGAACAAGTTAAGGATTATATATATCTTGGTCAAGCTATAAAACATAACAAAGAGAACCAAACAGCAGAGGTCAAGAGACGAGTTAGACTCTCATGGGCGGCATTTGGCAAACTAAGCTACATTCTTAAAAACAAAAGATATCCACAGCATCTTAAGACCAAAGTATATAATCAATGCATACTCCCTGTTCTTACTTATGGTTCCCAAACGTGGACATCTATAAAAGCAAACATGGACAAAATCATAAAAACCCAAAGAGCAATGGAAAGACAAATGTTGCACATAAGACTAATGGATAAGAAGAGAAACGAGTGGATAAGAGAGAAAACAAAAGTGAGGGATGTTAGACAAGAAGTTGCAAAATTGAAATGGAGATTTGCCGGACACAATATAAGACAAAAAAAAGACCGATGGAACAAAATTCTTATAAGTTGGAGACCGTGGGAATATAAACGAAGCAGAGGAAGGCCCCAAATGAGATGGGCAGATGATATCAAGAAGCACGTGGGCTCTAGATGGATGACTGTAGCGACAGACAGAGAAGAATGGAAGAGGATTGGGGAGGCCTATGTCCAAAGATGGACCGAAGAAGGCTAATTAGATAGATATATAGATCAGAAGTACAACATGAGCATATCACAAACTATTTAAGTATCATTCGTTCATTTATTTATTTAAGTACCTAGTTTTTTAGTATAATTATTTGACATTCGATAGCGACCGATTAAATATTAATTGTATATACAGGGTGTCCAGAAACCCTCCAGACAAACGAAGATCAAAGGTTCCTCAGTTAATTTTAAGACATTTCACTTAACCTAATTCGCCTAGTCCGAAAATACTTCGTAAGGGAGCTAGAATTCTTTGAAGATGGCGCCTTGTTATTGATGCTACAATGTGTCTACGTAACTTGGAACCATTTGAAAAAATGTTTTATTATTAATTTTACTAAAAAGTTATTTTTCGTAAAAAAGCTCAACATGGTCTAAATCCTAAGATGTAATCATCTGATATTAAATTTTATCAATATTATACGAGGTATGAATTTGGCTCAAGAGTAAAGAACCTTTTATATTTAACGTTAAAGAGTTAAGAACCTTTTTTCTACCGGAATGGACGAGTTATCATATTTTTATTAAGTAAAAATTATTTCAGTAATTTGAGAACAATTTGCAATTTTTTTTATTAGAAGGATGTAATTATATTAAAACATAGTTTTTTATTCCAAACAACTTTTCATAAGATCACTCTTTGATTATGTGAAATAAAAAGATACTTTACTCTTAAGAGAAAATTACATTTTTGGACATAAATCAAATAAGATTTTTGACATACATAAGATTGATAAAATTTGATATCTTATGGTTCTTAGGTTTAAGACCATGCAGAGTTTTTATGAAGAATAACTTTTTTTCGTAAAATTAATAATAAAAAAGTTTCCCATATGGTTTCAAGTTACGTAGACACATTGGATATATATTTTCACTAGCAAAACCAATAAAGAACTTTATCTTTATAACTATCGAACAATTACACGTATTCAAATTTTGTATTAATAAATAATAATTGGGCACTAATTATTATATTACCAACAGCATTTTTAAATTTGTACTAATTACATTATTAAATAAAATTACAAATATTGCTGCAAATGGTAAACCTTGTCAGAGTCCATATAAAGGTCCTTGTATGCCTCAATCCGATTAAGAGCACAGTTAGTTTTATGCATTTTTTATGAAGTTTAGTTGTAATTCTCCATCTCATAAAGGATTTAAAGGGATTATATTATTATTGTTATAATGTTAATACCAAACAGATTTAAAAGCATCATTCAAACTACGAATATAGAGTATTTCTCCCAGTTATTAACATTAGAAGCACCAGCATTTGTGCATACCTAGAAGCACCACCGGAGGTCAAAATGACGGATATTAGAATTTTCTATTGCCAGCCGTTTTTGTATTCGTTTTTATTTGATAAAAACCTATATTGAGTTAATAACTAATAATAAAAGACATATTTAAAATATTTAAATTAATTATTTGATTATTTAAGTACAATTTATGCAGTAGCAAAATTTTTCAATTTTGCTTGTACATGACCCACACACAAATTTTTTACATATATGACAAATTTCAAATGTTTTATTTTTGTTGCAATTCCCTGTTTGACACTGCTTACGTTTAATATTTGGTGGTTTTTTTGTACCTCTTGGATTTGTATCCGTTGATGTTGTCCTGCCATTAGGCATGAAGTAGGAAATCCTGCCTAGATATTTGACTGCCCGTAACTTTCTTATACAGAACCCAAGCATTTATTCCTGCATTATCTAAAATATTACAAACAACTTGCAACGGTCATCTTCTTGAAGCAGATTTGGTTGAATACAGTCTAGCCATCTGGTCTACAACGTCCACTCCGTATTTTATCTGGTTGTAGAAGATGATGGTTTGCGGTTGTTTCTTTTTATCTGTGCCCATTTTAATATCATTCGAGTGTAAATAACTCAGCACTAGAACATTTTTGTTCACTTTTTCCTGGTACGCCGTTAGAGTCAAGTCTTCGTGTTTGAAAATTTTTGTTTTTGTACAATTCCATCTTTTCATTTTTTACTGACGGTGGAATATCCTTTCTTGTTCGGTTGATTGTTCCAACAATGCTGGTAGCATTCTTTCGTAATTCTTTTGCCAACTTTATGGACGTAAAGAAATTATCGGTCGTGACATTTCTTCCTTTATTTATAAATGGTTCCATTAGACGGCTAACAACATGTTCCCCCAAAAGTTGATTGGCTGGTCGTTGTTCATCTTTCCCTAGGTAAGGAAATCGGTTCAACAAATATTTGGACACGACATTAGCTGCAAGCCAGAATTTAATTACAAACTTATCGGGTTTATTCGCCATGTACTGGGTAAAGCGGCATCTTGCCTTCGTGGAAAAAAGCTGTTCGTCGATAGTTATATTTTTGCAAGGTGTATAACATAATATACAATTCTCTATAAATGGGTTCCATATTCCCGACGCAAGTGCAAATTTATCTGTTGATAATCGCTCAGACCTGGTATTTCGCATATCAAAATGGATAAAACTCATTATTTGTGTAAATTTGTTTCTAGACATCGTCTCTTGAAAAAAATTTGGACCCCATGTACCAGACCACAGCATCTTTATGCTAACATTTCGTGCCATATAAGCTTCCCTAGCATACAGTAAGGATATAAATGCTTCAATTTCTTTCATAGAAATTTGCCAATTTTCATCTTTGAGTTTTCTTCTACCTTCAGCAACAGTACATGATTTTATGTTACGGAGTATGCATTCATCAATCAACAGCCGCCATGCACTAGCTGCAGAATCTCTAATAATGCTTCTCTTAGTATGAGGGGCTGGTCCAGCAGTTTCCTTTAGAACATTTTGACTGGTACGCCTTCCTAAAATGAACGAGATAAATTAGTATGCAGGTATATACTCATTTATTTATTTATTTAAATAAATGGCACCGTAATAAATAAAGAATGGAACAACAACCAAGAAATAAGAGCGCACATCGAGAAAGCTAGATCCACCTTCTACCAGATGGGGGCCTTCTTCAAGAGCCATAACCTCTCTCTTGGTATAAAAGGAAGGATGCTGCGATGCTAGGTCTTCTCTGCTCTTTTTTATGGTGTTGAATAGTTGACCTTGACGAAGATGTATGCAGAAAATTGGAAGCATTCGAGCTGTGGCTAAATCGAAGAACATTTCAAATCCCCATGGATCACTATCGAATCTCGAAAGTTACAATATTTCGAAAACGTGCGAAATGAATCTAGATGCGACCGTCTACAAGCCATCCTGCAAGGAAAAATATTTGGAAAACGGGGTCCAGGAAGAAGAACATCCTGTAGATAAGGTAAATATTGCCATGATTATCGCCAATATTCGTGACATCAAGAAGAATATGCTCAAACATATTATACACGTGAGTGAATACATAAATAGAAGCTACTAATATAATATAGTTGCTTACCTGGTGTACTAGAATTCTCTAAATCGCTTCTGCGAATTCCTCTTACCTGGTTGGTAATCATTTCTGAAGATGTATTGAAGTCTGCATTCGAAGTTGAAGCAGAAGTACTGGGCATCACCTCAATCTCAACTTCACCTTCAGAATCACTGCCCGATGAATCTCCTTGATCAACTGTATTAGGCACATAGTCGTCAACTTAGCTCTGCTACAGATTCATCTTCTGACAAATTCTGTAGATACTCTAATAGCTCCTGCTGAGTAAAATATCGGTGAGACATGATAACAGCAGAAATAATAAAAATCACAATGTAAAATTAATCAAAATACAGATTGAACATGCAATTGCAAAGAGTATACTCAAACTACATAATAACAAATATTTTCGATGTATTTTATACATAAAATAAGTAAAAACTTCCCAGAAACGTAGAACAAAAATTAGACTACCTCGTCATTAGGACCGCATTTTTATAGGTAGACATCAACATAAATATACTCAAAATGTAATTATACTAAGTACTGTTATATATTTATATAATTATAATAAATAATACTCAAGTAATTTCAACTTATTAATTGACATCCTCACAATTGACTTGACACAGATAACCTAACCTAACATAAAACATAGTGGCCTCTTTCTAAAGGTACTTTCATAACAATCTTCCCCGCTTAAAAAAGTAAAGAAAATAATTAATAAACAAATGTTACAAATTTAATTTGGTAGGAGCTTTAATTAGTCTACCTGAACGAGTAGCAGTAACTTTTGGAGTAGTAGAAAGTCTGACCTCAGTTTTATCAAAGATCCTTTCAGTATTTTCATTAAAATCATTGAATTCATTCTTATCTTTACTAATAGGACTCTCTACTGTTTCATTTGTTACTGATACTTGTCTCTACATTACATTATTAGGGTTTACCTTTGTAACTGATTCTTGCCCAGAATCATTTACAACTTTTTCAGTAGTGGAAACTATCGGTTTTTGTTCAGTATAATAGGTATCTTCCTCAAATTTACATTTACGAATATCACTAGCATGTACAAAACTTTTATTTTCCCCTATTTCAAGTTGCTGGTATGCTCCTTTTAAGTCTAACACTGTAAAATATTTACTACCTGCTAAAGTAGCATATATATCATTAGGCAAAGGTAATACACAGTGATCTCCATCTATGGCTGTATTTAATGTCTTTTTACAATCAACACAAATTCTATACTCATGAATAGGTAATACAGAGTGTTAAAAATGAAAAGCAGTCAAAATGACTGCTCTGGTGCTTCTAGTGTTAAAATATTTTTAACTTTTTTCCAATACTTAATGTTCGGCAGAGATCACGTTAAAATTTTTCATTTAAAATTTACCTCTATATTTTCTCTGGTCGAATCTGTAGTACGTTCTTCAAGTTTAAAAAGAATACCAAATTGGAGAAAAACAACTTAAAATAATCTGCTATGAAAGCTCGAAACCAAAGTGGAAGATCAAGTGAATAGAGCAAACAGAGCCGTAGGCAGAGAAATGGAGAAATAAAAATATCGGGAATGAAACGAAAGGCAGAATTTACAAAACAGTCATCAGACCAATAACGACTTACGCGACAGAAACAAGACCTGATACAGAGAGGACAAAAAGGATATTAGAAACAGCAGAGATGAAAACACTTAGAAAAATCGATAGTAAGACACTATGGGACAGAGCTAGAAGTACAGATATACGACGTAGTTGCAAGGTGGAGAACATCAAGAACTGGGTCAGCAGAAATAGAAGAGTAGAATGGAATGATCATACAAGCTGAATGAGAACTAATAGAGTAGTAAAGACGGCAAGAGACGGTTCTCCAATAGTGAAGGCACATTGAAAACAGACAGAGTCATTTTTATATAAAAGAAGAAGAAGAAGAATGTTAAAATCTAAATTTGTATCTTTGTCTGTGTCACACACTTTACCTTTTTGTTTACTATTGTTTGTACCATTCCAGACAAAACTGATATGATGAAGGCTATCACCAGACTCTCGCCATTCTTCACAACTCTCCGAATCTGAAGAAATGAATACCTTTCTTTTATTTCCTATAAGTTGCAAGTTTTATTGTTTTTATTTTTTATTTTTCTTCATCCTTCTGTTTTATTTTCTTTCCTTTACCCTTAGTTGTTTTATTTTTCTCTTGTATTGCTTTTTCCATTTGCTTTTTCTCGTGGTATTCTTGTCATTGTTTTGCCGTAATAACTGAAAGTACTTTTTCTTTCTTAGCTCGTTTTAATTGCTTTTACTGTTTGGGCTCAGGCTAAAATAACGCTTTTTTAAATGGAGATGAAACCAGATATAATGATGTCGAAGGATATCTCAATTGCAGGGCTTCTGTTTGTTTTCTGGTGTAAAATGTTTTCTTGTTTTAGTTAGTAAATTATCAGTGTTTTAAATAACTCACTACCAAAATTTGGCTTCTCTAGAGGAACAATATATTTAGAAGATACTTCAGTTTCTTCCCTCAAATTTTTATATGGATTTTTGTTTTTAAATCTTCATTTTTTATTGTTTTTGATTTAAGAACGTTTAATTCAGACATTTTTTCTTTAAAAAAGTAAAATAAAGAATGATCATTTATGCCTGCATCCCATTTATCTCTATTTTTAAATATTGCAATTTTTTTTTTTCAATCAGTATTAGCTTTTAAGAACTTCAGACCAACTTCCAACACTTTGATTTTCTGACTTTCCGCAGCGTTAAAATGATTAGGTATAACTGAATGAGATGAGTGACATTTGGAAATAAAGGGCAATCCAAATTATTCCCTTACTTTCACAGAATTTACTTATATGTAATGTTAAATGGGAGGTATGTCCGTCTATGAAAAGAATTATTGGCAAAGTAATACCGGCATTTAACATCCATGGATAAAAGACATTTCTGATATATTCGAAAAATGTCTCTCCAGTCATCCAACCAGTTTTGCCCTTCCCAATACCCCACCATTCAGGAATACTGACAGTTAAGTCTCTTGGAATTCTTTCGAAACGGAATAATATCATCGGAGGTATCATCGTTCCAATTGCGTTTCCAGTTAATAAAACTGTAAGGCATTCTTTCTCATCACTGTTAACCTGCTGATATACAGTTTAATCAGCTTTCTTTGCCAAGACTTTACTACCCTTTGGATTCAGAAAAAATTCCCATATTTATGTCCTGTTGCATAAGTTATAATTTCTTGAAACCAATTGATTATACTTGTCTTAGTTACTGAAGCTCTGTTTCAAACAACTATGTACTATAGGTCTACTATATATATATATATATATATATACTTTCTACCCAGGTCTATCTGATTTAAAACAGTTCTTTATTTTCAGTTCTTGTATTAAGTGTTGAACGCTGTTAAGTAAAGTTTTTTTACCAATTGGAAACCCAGCTTTTGTGAAAATCCAAAGGACATTTGTCTAAACTTTAACACGCTTTTATTAATTGTATTAATTAATGTACTTCTGGGTACTTAATGGTTTTTAACTGTAGAAGCAACTGATTGAAATCGTGGCTAATGCAGATTCCATTTTCTAATATTAAAACTATATTATTTTGTGAAAATGAAACTTATATTGTCAACTACTGGATTACTGTCAACAACTATGGGTTCTGTTACCTTGAAATTTTAATGTGTTACAACGCTTTAATCAAAATTCTATGCTTTTCTTGTTATAACTTTGCAATATAAATATATTTTGTTGTTCTATTGTTTATTACACTCACTTTTTATATGCTTTAAAATCGGCTTTGGATATAAAATACTCTAAAAGCATCTGGAATAATAATTATTTTAAACTCTTGTGACTATATAAATACTAGTTAAAAATGTATCGACTTTAACAGTATTATTTACTTGTGTGATTAACACTTTAATTGTTTTTAGGTTATACTGCTTAGATTTACTAAAGGACATTTTATTCTATGGATTGCTATTATGGTTGTTTTATGGATTTGTATCCAAGTTGTTTGCAGCTGTTGGAAATCCTTTAGTTTGATAGTTTATTTTATATTTTGGAACTATTGCAATATTTATATGTTTAATAACTTTTGTACCATTTGGAAATAAAATATCTATTTATAAAATATGGTCTAATAAAAATAAATAAGTATAGTTTATTTTACTTAAAAACACTTTAACCTTTTAAACTAACGTCACTAGTTCGGTCAATACTTATAAATATCAATACTCATTGTGTCAATACCATCAAAAAAAAAGACAAAAGAGGGAATCGTTATGAAAAGAAGACCAACATTCATAAAAGTGGCCTCTTAATATGGCGGACATATTCGGAAATGCAAAGGCGCCAAATTTAAATTTTCCGACACCTATTAACAGTATAAAATATTTTTGAGAATGTGTCTAAGACGAGGAAGTATTAATTAAATCATGAATGTGTTGCTTGTGTGAGTCCATATCAAATAGGTAAAGAAATAATAATAAGACTTACTCACAATCAATTTAATTTAACAATCTGACGACCGGTTTCGCTTTCTACAATTTGCAAAGCATCTTCAGGTCTAGATACAAAGTTAAACTAATGCTGCAATAAAATAAACCCAATTAGGGTGGTGTCTAATAAAGATAAAATAAACAAATAAGTTAGTTCATACAAATTATAGTAATTATGCCAATATTACATGTCTGTGGTTTTCAAAATGAATAAATTTGAATATATAAAAGGTATTAACAGACAAGGTAAGACCCACAATTGGTATAAAGTAGCAATATTATATTGTAATAAATTAATAAATGAGCAAATAAATAAAACAAAACAAACATTACTTACATGCCGGTACTCTATTAATTGATGGATGGTAGGTCATGGTTGCAAAAATCCTGTATTGTTGATTGGAGAACTTTAATGTGCTATTGCAGTTGTTTTGACAATAAACGGGAAGTTCTTGAGGAGAACAGATTTGATCCAATGAATTAGAGATAGGTATATTGTGGTTGTTTGTCAGATGAAAGTGATGTTCTTTACTATTGTATTATTTAAATTATTTACACTTCTATCAGAGATATATTTTTTGGAATGTGTTTTATTTATTGAGTGTTTATGTAATGAAGGAGACAGTTTTATGACAATGAATAAGAGTAGCTGTACCGATTGTGCGGTTGTGCAATTATTTTGACTTGTAATTATCAAGTCTATTGGCAAAATTAATAAATTATTGTAAAGTCAACTCTGTAAAAAGTATATAAAAAGTATATAAAATTATTACAAATTAAGACGATCAGGGACAAATTAAACACATATTAACAGGAACAGAAACACTAAATGACGGGACAAACATTGAATTTAAAACTTAAACTTGGGGGATGGAAGAAACTGCAAGCACTACATCTCACTGTTGGAAGAAATGAGTTTTTTCATATTTAATCTATTAGATTTAAGAGGTAAATTTGACATATGTAGGTTGAAGTGTGACAGTTCTTCTTCTATTACTAAATACTGTAAGTTTAGTTATTCAGTATTATGGAGTATGTTGATATTAATGAATGTCTCAAAATTTTGTTTTAATTTAGAAATCAAAAGTAAATTGATGTGTTTAATATTGGCATACTTTAACAATTTTAATTAATAAGTTTCAAATTCAAAAAATTTTAATATTTTTTTTTTTTTTTTTAATTTTTTTAAAAAATTTTTTAGAATATTTCAGACAAAATTGCCTGAAAATTTTTTTATTTGAAATAATTGTCGGTCTGAGCTATCTGTTATGGTGTATAAACATTTCTTAAAATATTTAATTTAAATTATAATAATTAATAATTAAATAAAGTAGTAATTGGGTGAATATTGATGATTATTCAAATTTTGAATTCGAGTAATTGACTGACTTAAGTCTTGAATAATTAGTTGGCAATACTAATTTATGACAATTGGAACCGGAAATTGATTCCATCCCCGGGCAGCAGGTACACATTTAAACCGGTGTAAAGTATTCTTTTATTTTAATTCTTTGTATCATATGAACAGACATTCCTCAAACCGACAAAAACACTGGTGAGTTTTTACAGTAGTTTTAGTAAGAATTTTTAAAATTTTATTAAAAATTAATATCTGTTTTTGAAAGTTAATAATTTCTATTTAAATTTTAAATCTGTACAGGATTATGAATAGTATAGATATATGTAATCCAAACTGCTAGTCTGAACAATTTTCAAGTCATGTTGGAAATCCATAAACCACGTGTTGAGTTTGAAATGAAATATGTTGTAAATTAAGTATTTGTCGAAACCAGATGGAATGCAATAATAATTATTATGGGTTAAATAAGTTGAGGTACCATACCAGTTCATTACTGATGTTTAATTTAGTTTTAGGAAAGTTTATTTTTATTGGTGATCAATTCTGTGAACAAGAAATTCGATCCATCATGGTGTGCTGGATTTTAATTTTATGTTGAAGATTTAAAACAATCTGAGAAGTATATCAAAACTGTATATCAGGTGTATTTGATTAAATGGGTTCTGGGACAAATTGTTGTTTCTATGGTATTGAAGTTACTACAAAGTATTGTGTGATGTTAATGGAAAATATATGGAAGATTAATATGATAAGTTGATGTTTGTGGTAACAATTCTCTAAGTATATGGATCTACTGTAGAAACGAGAAATGGAGTAGGTTCAGGTAATATTATTTATATCGAAAAAATTATTTTATAATAATACTGAGTATACTGGTGTGTATTCTAATTCTAATTGTGCATTAAGTGTAACTGTTCTTTGATTTTTTAATGATTTTAATATTTCTAAATGTTCTAGGTTATTTAATAAGGAGCCTTTATTACAAGTATGAAGGATTGTGAAATCTGTTTGTGGATCAAAAATGTGGTTTGTTCGACGGATATGTTGGGAGAAATGTGATTGACCTGATGTTGGACGTTCTATATATCTAAGATGTTCCCCTAGTCTGGTATTGAAGGATCTAAAGGTTCTACCGATGTAAAATGCATTGCAGGTATGGCAGCTAAACTTATACACACACATATTTATGTGGTCATCGAATACTTTTGCAATCTTATAGGAAAGTTCACCTATGTATGTTAAAGATCGGTAAGATTTTTGTTCCACTATTTCATTAAACTGTTGTGTGTATATTTGATGTTCCAGCATTCTATTTGTCTTTTTATGCAAAATTTTATTCACTAGATTAGTGGAATAACCGTTGTTCAAAGCTATTTATTTTATAATTTGTAACTCTTTGTTAAATGAAGTCAAAGTTAATGGTAAAGAAATTAACCGATTAATGTAACTGTAAAAGGCTGCCATTTTGTGTTGTATTAAAGTATGCCAATATTAAACACATCAATTTACTTTTGATTTCTAAATTAAAACAAAATTTTGAGACATTCATTAATATCAACATACTCCATAATACTGAATAACTAAACTTACAGTATTTAGTAATAGAAGAAGAACTGTCACACTTCAACCTACATATGTCAAATTTACCTCTTAAATCTAATAGATTAAATATGAAAAAAACTCATTTCTTCCAACAGTGAGATGTAGTGCTTGCAGTTTCTTCCATCCCCCAAGTTTAAGTTTTAAATTCAATGTTTGTCCCATCATTTAGTGTTTCTGTTCCTGTTAATATGTGTTTAATTTGTCCCTGATCGTCTTAATTTGTAATAATTTTATATACTTTTTATATACTTTTTACATAGTTGACTTTACAATAATTTATTAATTTTGCCAATAGACTTGATAATTACAAGTCAAAATAATTGCACAACCACACAATCGGTACAGCTACTCTTATTCATTGTCATAAAACTGTCTCCTTCATTACATAAACACTCAATAAATAACACACATTCCAAAAAATATATCTCTGATATAAGTGTAAATAATTTAAATAATACAATAGTAAAGAACATCACTTTCATCTGACAAACAACCACAATATACCTATCTCTAATTCATTGGATCAAATCTGTTCTCCTCAAGAACTTCCCGTTTATTGTCAAAACAACTGCAATAGCACATTAAAGTTCTCCGATCAACAATACAGGATTTTTGCAACCATGACCTACCATCCATTAATTAATAGAGTACCGGCATGTAAGTAATGTTTGTTTTGTTTTATTTATTTGCTTATTTATTAATTTATTACAATATAATATTGCTACTTTATACCAATTGTGGGTCTTACCTTGTCTGTTAATACCTTTTATATATTCAAATTTATTCATTTTGAAAACCACAGACATGTAATATTGGCATAATTACTATAATTTGTATGAACTAACTTATTTGTTTATTTTATTTTTATTAGACACCACCCTAATTGGGTTTATTTTATTGCAGCATTAGTTTAACTTTGTATCTAGACCTGAAGATGCTTTGCAAATTGTAGAAAGCGAAACCGGTCGTCAGATTGTTAAATTAAATTGATTGTGAGTAAGTCTTATTATTATTTCTTTACCTATTTTTTATTAATTAAATAATAACGATAATAATCTAAAATGTGATACAATTGTTAAAAAACTTAAGACAAATAAACAATATAAATAAGATTTAATGTGACATTTGGGACAAACATAAACAAACTAAATTTGATTTCTTAAACGAGAAAAGAGACTCTTGTTTTTTGTTTAATGTGGCCTCTCAAAATGGCACTTCCCGTCTAACAATATTTTTGCCACCACTACCACTTTACATTCCCTCTTCTGTCTTTTTGCTCGATGGTCAATACACATGGTCATACCATGTCAATACATTTTGACATGGTACGTCAATATTAGTAAATTAGTACTTCACTAATATAATTATGTATATTAGTAAATACTTACCAATATTTACTGACGACGAAGGAGGCGAGCATAAAATATTCAAGACAAAATCATTCAGCTACAAACGAAAATTATTAAGGTATGATGATAAATGAAACCATGAATATAATATGAAAACACTATAAACTATATATACTCCATTTGCTTAGCTCGAGCATATTTTGACAGATTCATTGTCGGAAACCTACAACACAAGAATTCCTACTTCTCGGTATTAATAGCTCAAGTATACTACTATTGCAGACTTATTTCTTTGAAAAAAGAAGAATTATTCTAAATAGTGGAAGTGTA